GGCTTCATGCAACTTGCCAACGACTTCCCATGTGAACTTACGATCGGGCCGAAAATCTGCCGCCTTGCGCCGAAAAAGGCGCAGCATCTGGTCCAAAACATGTTGTTTTGCTATGGCGCCACGTTGCACTTGCTCCCCGGCATAATGCACCGACATGAGGCGCGAGGCTCGCTGGCCTTGCTGGCCTGGAAGTTGAACTGCCTCCATCCACGACCCAACAGCTTGGGCGTCCTGCGGATCCAGCCGCAGGACCAGCGCTCCCGTTGGCGCAAAGCGCCGAAGTCGATTGAACTGGGCCGTGCATGCTTCTGCCGGAGCCACTCCGCTCTGAATCAAGAGGCCACGAAAGCACTCTAAGAAACTTGTGCGAGAAATTGGTTTAGCAGAGAGAAAACACGTGTCTTCAGACACCTGCCACAGCTCTGCTGGCTGCAGCTCAAGCGCTGGCCACAAAAATTTGGCAGCAGGGTTGGCCACCTCCTCATGAAATTTTCGCAACTGATCCAGCAAATTGAAGTCTTCAAAAACAAGGGATGGGGCGCACCACCTGTGTGGAGGCCGCGCCCCTTGCCGGCGAGACTTTCCTTGAGCGCACTCATATTCCAGCCAACTATCATGGTCTGCGATTAACTTGGATCTTTGGGCATGCGCAAGCCTGATGCAAGACGCGGCAGCTTGAAGAATGCTTGGTAAACAGATGCCGCAGCAGTAGGCCCCCCCGCAGAAACAGAAACTTCTCTTAGAAAAGCTGCAAGGTCTGCAGGAGACGGAGAAGCCACTGACAACTTGCGGGCTTCGCAAAATCTGGGCCATCTGCGCAGCGCAGACAAAATCGAACTCAGGTGGCTCTCTGCCCCAGCCATGATAAAAGACTGGGCCTGCAAAACAGAATTTTCATCGCCCCAGGAAACGTTCCCAAGCTGTGCACATCCAACAAGTGTTCACAGGCAAAGGCAAAAAGTTCTCCTAGCTTGAAAGCCACAGCATCCCTTCCAGGGCCCCGTTGCTCCGCACGAACAGGCGCAGCAACAGGACCAGGCGAGTGGCTTAATAAGCTACGAACCCTATGTCGTTGCTTGTAGAACAACTCTGGCTGCGTTGAAGGCCGCGCCGCGGGCACAGTTTCCATCAAAAGTGACCGTCTCTGACCCGCCACCTTCGCCGCTGCATCAGAGATGTGCTCGAGTGCTTTTTTTGACGCTTTGGAATACAAAGCCGCCACTTCAACTGCAGAGTCAGGATCGGAATGCGCTTGTGTTGCCATGAACTCAGCGGAGCATGTTGGCGGATCAGGCCACATGCCCCTCACATCTGAGCAACACTCCACACCTGTTTGGCAAAACCACGCCTGGACAACTGGATTGGCCTTAGCAAGCAAAGCAGACCACTCATCCCCCGAGGCCGACATGGCAAAAGGAAAGAAGGAAAGAAAAATGGAAATCCGCAGCCTAGAAAGGGCTACCAGATTTTGAGCTGCTTGCCTGCGGGCGCACCAGGGGTGGAGAGTTCAAGACTAAACAGCCCCTGCCCAACCAACCTCCATGTTTAGCTGCTCAAAAGTTGCGATTCTCCAGCTAGAGCTGGTACTACAAAGTTGCGATTTTCCAGCTAGAGCTGGAAACCTGTGCTTTGCGCACTAGACTTGTACCTCAGGGTCGCAATTTACAGCTGGAGCTGGAAACCTGTACTTCGCGTACTAGACTTGTACTACAAAGTCGCGATTTTCCAGCTAGAGCTAGAACCCTGTACTTCGCATACTAGACTTGTACTACAAAGTCGCGATTTTCCAGCTAGAGCTAGAACCCTGTACTTCGCGCGCTAGACTTGTACTACAAAGTCGCGATTTTCCAGCTAGAACTAGAACCCTGTACTTCGCGCACCAGACTTGTACAACCAAGTCGCGATGTTCCTGCTGGAGCTGGAAACCCGTACTTCGCGTACTAGACTTGTCAAAGTTACGATTTTCCAGCTAGAGCTGGAAACCTGTACTTCGTGCGCTAGGCTTGCGCTACAAGGTTGTGATTTCCAGCTAGAGCTGGACTTCGCGCACTGTGCTTCGCGTGCTAGACTTGTACTACAAAGTCGCGATTTTCCAGCTGGAGCTGGAAGCCTGTCCTTCGCACGTTAGACTGGTACTACAAAGTTGCGATTTTCCAGCTAGAGCTAGAACCCTGTACTTCGTGCACTAGACTTGCACTTCAAAGTTGTGATTTCCAGAAACCTGTCCTTCGCGCGCTACACTTGTGCTACAAAGTTGCGATTTTCCAGCTAGAGCTCGAGACCTGTACTTCGCGCACTAGACTTGCACTACAAAGTTGCGATTTTCCAGCGCGTACTAGACTTCTGAGCGACACGTCTGAGCACAACTTCTGATTGATACTTCTGAGCGACACTTTTGAGCGACACCTGATCAACACATCTGAACCACACTTTTTCTGATCGACACTGCTGAGCAACACTTCTGAGCGACACTTTTCCTGATTGACATTTCTGAGCGACACTTCTGAGCGACAATTTTGCCCGACACCTTACCGACACTTCTTAGTAACACTTCTGAGCGACACTTTTTCTGATCGATTTTTCTGAGCAACACTTCTGATCGACACTTCTGAGCAACACTTTTGATCCGCACTTCTGACGCACACTTCTGATCGACAGTTTGAGCAACACTGCTGTTCTGATCGACACTTCTGACCGACACTTGTGAGGAACCCTTCTCATCAACACTTCTGAGCAACAATTGACACTTCTGAGCGAACTATTTGAGCGACACCGGATCAACAGTTCTGAGCCACACTTTTTCTGATCGACAATTCTGAGCAACACTTCTGAGCGACACTTTTTCTGATCGATTTTTCTGAGCAACACTTCTGATCGACACTTCTGAGCAACACTTTTGATCCGCACTTCTGATGCACACTTCTGATCAACAGTTTGAGCAACACTGCTGAACCACACTTCTGATTGACACTGATGAGCAACACTTCTGATCCACACTTCTCAGCGACAGTTCTGAGCAACACTTCTGACCAACACTTCTGATCCCACTGCTCATCGAAAAACACTGCTTGCTGAATTGACACTTCTGCGCGACACTTCTGAACAACACTTCTGATCGACACTTCTTTGTGAGCAACACTTCTGACCCACACTTCTGATTATCGACACTTCTGATCGACAGTTTGAGCAACACTGCGACACTGCGCCGAACCACACTTCTGATTGACACCTTCTGATCCAAATTTCTCATCGACAGTTCTGAGCAACACTTCTGACCAACACTTCTGATCCACACTGCTCATCGACACTTCTGATCGACACTTCTGAGCAACACTTTTGATCCGCACTTCTGATTGACACTTCTGATCGACAGTTTGAGCAACACTGCTGAAGCACACTTCTGATTGACACTGATGAGCAACACTTCTGATCCACACTTCTCATCGACAGTTCTGAGCAACACGTCTGGTCCACACTTCTGATCTGATCAACAGTTCTGGTTCTGAGCAAGACTTCTGATCCACACTTCTGACAACATTTCTGAGGGACACGTCTGCAACACTTCTCAGCAACACTTCTGTTCGACACTTCTGAACGACACTTCTGAACGACACTTCTAATGGACACTTGTGATCGGCACTTCTGAACGAAACTTCTGTCTCCAAATGCACACCGCGCCACAGCAAGAGCGATTCGACCCACCCAAAGCGCGCAGAGGGCTCACTCTGCGCGCTCAAAATGTGCACCGCGCCACAGCGAGAGCGATTCGACCCACCCGATGCGCGCAGAGGGTTCACTTCGCATGCTCAAAATGCGCACCGCGCCACAGCGAGAGCGATTTGACCCACCCAAAGTGCGCAGAGGGTTCGCTTCGCGTTCGCGAGAGCGATCTCGCTGAGTCAAAGTGACGCGCTGCGCCGCACCACAGCGAGAGCGATTCGACCCACCCAAAGTGCGCAGAAGGTTCGCTTCGCGTGCGCAAAATGTGCACCGCGCCACAGCGAGAGCGATCTCGCTGAGTCAAAGTGACGTGCGTGCCACGAAATCTACACCCAGGCACCGAAGCACCGCGCCTGCCACGAAATTTCCAAAGTGCCGCGCCAGCCACGAAATTCAATCAAAACGCTCGAAAGCGCTGCGCCTGTCAGGCAAAGTAAGCTTGCCACAAACTCAAAATCATCCAAAGTGCTGGACCTGCCACGAAATCCAACTTTGACACGTTTACGCCACGCATCCAAAACTAGCACGGGACTGTGGCGCCAGAATGATTTCGACCAATTTTGACATGTTTCAGGCCCGCCAAAACGAGCCGATTGTACGACAGGGCCAACGAAAACGGCGCCGGCGCAAACACTATGACGCGCCTGCCAAGCAGACACCTCAAAGCGGCCACCCCTGGCTCGCAAATCCCAATGGCACCGAGACGAGAACACGCAGCCTTCCAAAACACAGCGCCTGCGCAGCGAAACGACGTCTAACATGCTGAGGGCTACGATTCGCGCACAGGGGCACAAAAAATGACACGCTTCAAGTCATCCAAACGGCGCGTAAAACGCTTTCCCCACTGGCACGGCCTTACCTTCCACTTGCGAACGCTTGCGGACGCTTGCGAACGCTTGCGGACGCTTGCGAACGCAGCGACGCATCTCGCGAACACATGCTGACCCCCAGACCCCCTTCTATAACGAAAACCCTTCTGCTACGCATTCGGGAAAAAATGCAGGCACGTGACATGCTTTCTGAAAGTTGCACAAGGAGCAAGTGAGTATGAAAGTGCGCAATTCAAAGAATAGTTGTGCACGGGCAAGAAAAAACGCTGCCAGACACAACTCCTATGCTCATATTGCGGCAGCATGGTCAACAGAACGAGACTCAAGCATGGCAAAGTGCGAAAGGCACCCACCGTGCATTCCACTCGCGTGCCAGGGCATGGCAGCAAACAATGAAACCCAGTGCGCATGCTTTCATGGCTGCCTGATGAACACAACTCTTGTCAGTGCCTGCAGAGAAGCTGCTTGCTATCCTCCTGCAGCAAGGAGACAAAGAAAGGTACGCAAACACAAACCTCACGCGAATCACACATATAACGTTGCTGCATCTCGCAGACTGTACCCTTTTGGGGGGACCAAGGAATCAAGGAAACACCAACAAGCAACGCAGCCTTTGCCCTGCACAGCATGCCTGAAAAAGCAAGTTGGAAGGCACGTCATAGAAGAGCAAATTGGTGATTGCCGCCACAACGTTAAGGACCAGTTCCTGGCCCCGAGCCACGCCAAGTACAGTGCAGTTGTGCTATTGTGGAGAGCGAGCATATCTTTGAGACAAGCTGGTCAGACAGTTGAGAGGTGTTTGCTTATGCCATTGAACAAACAAAATAACGTATGGCCCTTCCGCGAAGCCTTCGCTGAGAAAAAGCCTCCGCTGTGCTGAGGGGAGTTTACCAGTAAGCACACTTTGCTCAGCGAAGCAACGCCCCTTCCGCGAGAGTCTACGGAATAAACAAAATCCGCGAATCTTCCGCAAGCTTCTGCAGCTCAAATGTCCACGTCTAGACCGTTTTGCTGAAGCGAGAAAGAAAACACCCCACAGTTGAAATTATTGAGTGCAAGTAGTTGGGTAGACCCCATAGTGCTAAAGATTAGAAGATACCCTCACTTCTCAGAGTTACGTTGAAACCAGCAGAGTTTGTGACTTTAGTTTTGGGGAAATGCAACAGCTCAACGATGAAGTAGTCTCGTGTAATCAGGCCTACTGCGATCCGGCCTCGCTTTCACTGATGCGCTTCGCGCCCAGCATGTCCAGCAGTGGATCCACCACAGCACTGCACAAAGGCGGACACAATGAGAAAGAAACTTGATTTTGTTGCATTTCAAGCAGGCGAACAAACCTTGGTTGGGTGACAAAAGAGGTATTTGCGTCACATTGCAAACTAAAGATTGTGGGGATCTGCGATTGAAGTGCCAATCAGCCTTGATGATGCAAGTGTACTCCCAGCAGACGGGCTGATCGCAATATTCGCAAGCAGCCTGAAGCAAGCTGTGTCAACCATGACGCCCGTGCAAGCATTGCCATGCTGCCTGACCAGTTTGACCAAAACTTCCTCAACTTCTTGAATCTCCGATGCCTGCAAAGGGCAACACATCCAGGTTTTCGCTGCTCTGTTTGTATGACTTGAGTGAAGCGGTCGGAATGCACGCTGCATTTTCTGCGCAATCAAACAGAGCTCTTGACTCCAGCGAGCGGTTGCTTTGACCGATCCTACGGAATCCAACACGCACACCAGGCGACTCCATGTCTTTGGAGGGGCAACCCATAAGTCCGGAAGATCTTGGCAGCCCCTTATGCAACTGGCTCTCTTCTGGAGCTCGGGCACTCAGCCTCCAACACAGGCTCCTGCATGACTGCCTGCATCGCCCGGCTTCGCACAAGGCATCGTCCAAACAGTCAAACCACAGCCTGTGAGGCAGGCTTTGAAGCCAGTGTGACTGCAACAAAGCCTTGGCCGCTCGGCTTGACATGCTTGACCCAACTTGCTACCAAGGGCAAGGGCTGACTGTACGTCTTGTAGTTGCGAGCAAAAGCACGTTTGACTTGGTGCTCGCTTATCTTTGCTGCGCGGTCGCAGGACAAAGGAGTCATTTCCAAAAGCAGAAGTCATCACCTTTAACCACTTTGCACAGCTACTGGATGATGCGCACCTGCATTTGTTTCTCGGCTCAGCCACCGACCGATGACCACCAGCACAGCAGCTACAAAGGTCCACAGAGACCTCAGCTTCGTGCAGAACGGCTTGTCTTCTTCACAGCAATTGGTGCTTTCCTCGCGTCTGCTGCGTTGCTCTGGCATGCTTTGGTAGCATGTCAAGAATGTCTCGCATCAACCATAACCAGAGAATCTTGAAACCTGCAAAAGACTTGCAGGGATAAGCATGCAGTTGCAATGTCAGTCTTGTCAAAGCCGCTCATCGGAAATCGGCTTGCAAAACCGTCTATTGATCCAAGACGCAGTAGCTGATGCCGCAATATGTCAGCCACAACCTGGTCAATGTATAACATGATCTAGCTGTGACTCCAAATGCGCGGCTGGCAGGTTGACATGCTTCAGTCCAACGTCCTTCCCACATGGGGCCACTCAAACGACCGGTAGGTGTCACCGTTTCCAAGCATATGGATTGCGGCATGCGTTCTAATTTTGACTGGAGTGCTCCGCTATGTGTGACTTTTGGGAGCCAGATTTCAGTGTGTCCATCAGTGCCGAAGAGTTCAGCCTGCTTGAACGGCACATGTAGTGACATGTAGCTAGATTCATTTGACCGCGAGTTGGCAAACGCCTTCCCTTTCAGCTGAGCCAGCAGCACTGAGCGGAATCGTCAAGGACAGCCCCACCTTGGCTTTGAGGCTTGCTGTTGCTTCACACAAATTCACACACAGGTCACACACCTCCCACAATAACTTTTGAAAGGGGACTGTTGCTGTGGTTGGCGAGGTCCACTGCACAGCCTGGCGCATGCTTGCATGGGCTTGTAACAATACAACTATGGAAGCCTTGGCCCAAGCGAATTGTGACAGAACGTTGTCGAACAGGCCGTTGAAGATGAGGAGGCCAAACACCTGAGGCGTTGCGAAAACCATGCCAAACCGTGTCCCGAAAGGGATGCCTGGTGGCTGGCACGTCCCAAATTTGGTAGGGCATTGCGGCATCTCTTTGTTGCCCTAAACAACTGAAACAACTCACATTGAGCAAATGCGTTTTTTTTCAAGCGCCTGCATCTACACTGTACACGCTGCAGCTATATAGCACGCAGCCACAAGGCTTGCAGCTGAAAATGCGCTTGGTGACTTTCAGACCAACGCTGGCAACTGAAGCGGCCAGTGACAGTCTGCTGTGCAATTTGGTCCTTGACTGGATGTCGGTCACGTGCAGGGGTGAAAGCTGGCACGCTGGGCCTGGTCAAGGCCAAGCCTATGCAAGCAGCAGCAATTTCACCCTGCCATCTCTGGAAGCTTTGTCCAGGTCCTGGACAAGCTGTTGGAGTTCTGCAGGCTGGACCCCATCAGCTTTTTTCAGCCCGGCTTTTCAACATAGGCCTTGAGAATGCAAATGTCAATGGCACGTGTCCTGAAGTACGTGGAGTCGCCCCACGCCCTTGGAAAGCTGCTTCACCAGCACCAGCCAGTATCGGTTGCCCAAACCTGAAGCGGAAAGTGCTCACAGCTTAGCAGCTTGGGCAAAAGTAGCATTTCCAAAGCCCGGCGTCCTTATTGGGACCCTCTGCGGCGAAAGGTTGGGAGAAACCCTCATTCAAAGCAGCACTCTGGTTCTCAGCTTATTTACAATGTGCACATTGCACGGTTTCCATCGGTTTCCATGATCAGTTCAATGCGGATGGGCTTTGGACCTTGATCCAATCCGAGCAGCGCCGTGCCATCGCCAGCTGCGCAGAGCTGATGTCGAAAACGCCCGAAGCCGCCAGACTGGCCTTGACCTCCACCAATGCCGCCTTGGACCAAACGCTCATCTCCCACTTGCACATCTTTGCATTGCCTTTGCATGCTACACTTTGCACGCTAGTGCTATAACAGGAATATGCAGGAGCTGAGGATCTTTCCAATTGTCAGCGCAAAATATTGCTTCATTTTGTTGCCACATTCACCGGACGGTGCGCAAGCGTGAGTTGTCCATTGAGCGGACAGAGTCCCTTGCTGGGGATTACCATGCCAAGAATTATCCACACCAGCCAACATCTGAGCAGCGACTCTCCAGCCCAGTGACGCCTGTGTCCTGTGCCAATGCCACCTGCCAGCGCAGGTTCTTGGCATAGCACATGCAGAGCACACCGCGTTTCTGCTTCATTTGGGTCACCATTGTAACCGGTACTGTCAGGCCGCATCTCGGAACGGAAACCGTAGGTTTCCTGTCTTCTGCTGCTCACTCTAGAGCGCCAAAGAGCCGTCGGGGTTCCTGTAAAGCATCTCTACCCTCCCCCCCCGTATGCTTTCTGAGCGCCTCGATGTCGCTCAGCGATGGAACCTGCAGGTTAAGGCACGGCCGATTCATTATCCCCAACCCCCTGAATCCAGTACATCATACGAATCATACTGGAATGTTTTGCGTCAAGCTCCCTCGGACTGGAAGTGATTGGAATCAATGATAGTCCCTGGGGACACGCCCGAACCCACAAAAAGTGGATTTCCAGGACCGGTCCTGGGACCGGTCCCGGGACCGGTCCTGGGACCAGTCCTGGGACCAGTCCTGGGACCGGTCCTGGGACTGGTCCTGGGACCCTGGTTCTGCTGTTTCAGGTTACTTGTCAGCCAAAACCGGTCCTGGGACCGGTTTTGGGACCGGTCCCAGGACCGGTGCCGGGATGAGTCCCAGGAATGGTCCTGGGACCAGTGCTGGGACTGGTCCCAGACCAGTCCCAGGACCGGGGTTTGGTCCTGGACCAGTCCCAGGACCAGTCCTTGGGACCGGGTCCTGGACTGGTCCCGGCCAGGACCGCTTTCAGGACAAGCCGGTCCGGGATCAAGTCCTGGTGTGACCGCTGGTATCGGGTCCCACTTCAAACTGTTGTGGTGCCACCTCAAACCGCTCCAGACACCTTTCCGGACTAGGGTCCCAGGTCCCAGTCACTCCCTGCGACCGGTTGAGGGGCACCGACGGCCTTGTTTCTAGGACCAGCTCAACGTGACTTGGGCACAAACCGGCCTGTGCGGTTATTGACGGACGAGCTGCCATCCCGTTAATCCTTGTGGTAGTAGAGGATCCCTGGATCTATTCTGCAAAAGAGTCCAATACGTCGAGTCAAGCCGCGCCAGACTGGGACCAGCCTGTCCCGGTCCCTGCCGGCGACCGGTCCAGGGCAACTTTGGGAGGGCCAGTTTCAGGGCGACCCCGGGAGAGGCGACATCTCCCGGGCCAACTCCAAGTGACTTGGGCGCAAGCCGGCCCAAGCGATAATTAACGGACTAGCTGCCATATTTCTGACTTTTCCGTTAATCCTTGTTTGTGGTCGTAGAGGATCTTATAAGTGGTCCCTGGGTTTGCGGACGTGTTTCAGGACCGGTCCTTGTGACTTTTCCCTTAATGCGCCGAGGGTCGGCGGCAGCAGGCGGGAGCCTGGTTAATAATCATGTTGTTGCATTCTGCGCTTGAGCGCTTGAGGGTGGAGCGCATGAGACAGCATGCTTTCTGTAAGCTCACAAAAGAAAAGTGCTATTGCTTGACTCGCTTGTCGTATTACATCAATTGTGCTTCGCTCCAATGCTCAGCCATGGCAGGGCAGACTTTCGCGCACCCCATCTGTGTCTGCCAAGCTGCTTTGCGCCCAGAACAAACTGCATCAAGGTTCTATGGTTCTGGACAGGTCACTCGAGAGATTTTCTGAAACATTCGCGCCTTGTTGGCACTTGACTTGCTGAGCTGGCGCAGGGCAAATGGCCAAGGCTGCGTACCTCTGTCAGTGCATCTCTTGTTAAGCAAGGCCGCCTGCCCAGACCGAGCCGTCCCCTTGCCAGAATGGCAACTGATTGCATAAGTTCTGACTTTGCCCTGAGTTGGCCCAAAACGGGCCATGCACTCGTCTCTCCTCTTGGACTAATGCTAGACTATACATGCGCTCTGCTTGACCAACGGCAATATCGACTAGGCCTGTTGCATGCATCAATGCGTGGGTCATGGAGACAGCTATGGAGCACTTCTTGGTCGCACCACAAGATCAAAGGGCAGACCTGCCACTACGTATATAGAACCTGTCTCTCAGGACCGAAGAAGAATGAAGGAAACCATTGAAAAGAGCTCTTCGCATGCAGCACAATTGAGTTGTTTCACACAAAGCATCCGTCGGAGCTGTAGGAGTACGACTCATGGAATGGCACGCAGAACTTTGTCCTTGGGCAAGTTGGCAAGCCCAAGCAGCCTGTCTCCGAGTCGCTGTTGACCCAGGCAACATCGAAATCGCGTGCTTTCAGGGCCTCCACTGCTGCCTGACCATGCAGCTGCTGACCATGCTTCATCACAAATATCCCAGAGACTGAGTACGAGCAACACGCTATGAGCAGCTGCCTGCCTGTTCACCTAAGCGACCAATGACTTCCGTCATCTCATCCTGACAAGCCACACGGGATAGGGCACATATTGATGGCTCATGTCAAGTTGCACAGCTTCGCCCACTGCCTCTGACAGTCCGGCCAGCTGCGCCACCGTCGCCCGCCCGGCTGCGTCTAGCACCATCTCCGAGCCCTTGTCCTCACCCTCCTCGTCCTCACCGTCCTCACCCTCTTTATCGTCCTCCCCGTTCTGGTTCCTGGCGCGCAGGCTCCGGAGGTGCCGTTCCAGGCCCTCGGCATCAGCGTTCCCCAGCGTGAAGCCGCGCTCAGCGAGCCCAGCCCCGGGCCCGGGCCCGGGGAGCGGCCCAGTGCCGGTGGCCGCCAGGGGCAGTGTAGCCGGGAACATTCGTTTGGGAGGCCCGTCAGCTGATGCTGATGGCGCCAGGGCTTTCAAGGCACAGGACAGCATGCCACCTCTTGTCGTGCTTTGAGATTCCTGGGCAAAGTTGCCAGGAGATGAGTGTCCCAGAAATCTTGGCAGGCACGCCTCTTCGTCTGTATCTCTTTCAATATGCATCTCATCGCGCACTTCCTCGCATCACATTTGCCAGATTGCACAAGAACATGTCAGTCTGACAAGTGCTCATCTCTGCCTCCGGGATGGCCGCGGCCTCCATCCACTTCTGAGCAGCGTTGCCTTCCTCCCTGCGCATGCAATGCAAGCAATCCTATGGATCTTGGCTTGCAGGGTATGTCAAATGCGGGCTTGCAAAGCTGTCGGTTGGGCAAAGCTTCACTGTGCGATCATCCTTCTATTGCAAGGACATGTGACAAGGACGTCTCAAGCACCCTACTTACTTGCCCTTGCCTTTCAGCTTGCACAGGCTCTGTGCTGAAGGGAGCCCATGGCGGGAGCAAATCCTTAGCGGAGTCAATATTGCAAGTGAGCTTGAAGACGGGGCCGTGTGATCATGCTGAGGCGACTTGTGCGTTGAAACAGTCGCAGTAGCTTTTGCACCACAAATCGAAGCAGTGGTGCCACATGGTGCCACCAAGTTTCCTCGGCACTTCCTGCGCCCGCGTAGCCAGCGGTCCTTGCCGCTCGCTCGACCTGTGCGACCCATCCATCTTACTTGTGAGGTTTGAGGCTAGTTGCAGTGCCTTCAACAGGACCCAGCTTTCCGGTTGCCAGTACACCACTTGTTGACTGCATTTGCCAGCAAAGAACATTGGGTGTCAGCTCGTGCTTCCGAGGCTCAGCGACAGCTGGTGGCTCTAGGCGCTTTGGTGGCGAGGCTTGCAAGTGAGCAGCAACCTGCCACAATAACTGCGCCACAATAACTAATAAAAACCTGTAGATTTCTTGGAAGCGCAGTCCCACCTGCTGGAGGCGCTTCAGCAATTTTCGCTTCACAGAGTCTTTGTCGAGAGGGAGCCGGGCTTCACCTAAACACGTAGCTCAGCTTAGCTTTTTTCATTGGGCTGGCGACGGAGAGGGCAGAGCATCCATTTCCGTGGCCCTAAAATAATCAGAAGAGCAGCCCAATAGGTGTGGCAAATAGCCAAGGTGCTCGGCTGCATTTTGGCCAACGAGATGCTATTTTCCACCACCGTGTTCACCTGAGATAAAAACATCTTTGCAAAACTGCTGCACCAACCTTCCGGTCCAGGCGCTACAGTATCAAATGTGTGTCATTTCACAGTGGCTTTGCGCGATTCTCGAAAATCCCGGTCTGCTACTAATAATTATCTCCTAACAATCAGGGCGTGATGTCCATGTCCTGCTAAGCGGCCACGCTAGCGGCAAACTGTGTCGCCATTGCTTGTGTTGCGGTGTCCGCAAAGGCGCCCACAAGTGCGCCGGGTTCTGGCGAAGTCTCTCCGGAGGCCTTCAGCGGTCAGCTGGACAAACAGAGCTTTGCCGACTTGCTTGGCTCCTGGCAATACTTACCTACGAGAAATCCTTTAGGCATACAAGCATTACATACAAGCATCAGATCAGTTTCATGAGGGCCACAAATAGCTTCCGAAATTCGGCCAACACATGCTGTGTTGCACCTGCATCCAGGTATGCAAGCCAATGCAGCTCAACCTCTTTCCTGCCTAAACACAATTCAGCCAAACCCGCCTGCTGCAAGTAGCCGACATAGTTTTCTACTTGAAGCGGCGGCCGGACAAGAACAAATTCCACAGATTCAGTGACCACAGCCTTCGAGCCATGTCACTCAACCGATTCAGCTGCAGTGAAGCAAAAATGAAACTCGCAAGTGCGCTACACAGGCCTTCGTATTGCACAGTAGCAATCCGCATGGCAAGTCGCGCTTGCTTTCAACGTCTCCTGGCTCCACCTGAGCTGGTAGATTGGTAGATGACAACATTATTGAAAGTATGAACCCCGAATCGTTCAGAATGGCCTGATTGCTGAAGCAAGTCTACGCATCTGCAACCCAGCGACAGCAACCACTTCCTCAACCGGAAGGAAGGCCACGTCATCAGTCTCCTTCTCGGGATCTGCCTGGTTCTGTGCCAGAGGCGGCTGAGCAACAGTAAAACCCTGGTGACCGCAACCAAGGGCGGAGCTGAAAGCACTTCAACGAACTCGACCTCCTTGCTCTGGACTCTGATGGCCTGTGACACGCACACGGTGCAGGAATAGTAATAGCTACACAAATAGGAGATCGCGCAAACTTGCGAGAGAGTGAACCAAAGCTGGCAAACTTTGGAAGGACGGCGCAACATGAATACAATGCTGATGGGTTGGATAAGCATTGTGGCTCCCAAGGCCGTCGTCAGGCCCCAGTGCAAAAATGTGGGGCATGAAAACTCACAAATGCCACCAAGACACAACACTGTTGTAGTTTAAGCATGGATCCAGAAACCATTGGAGACTGCTACAACCGTGACTGAACGAGTCACAACCGAAACCAGGTGTCAAAAGGTTCTACCCAAACCCACACAAAAATCAAAAGATCGGATGCACAATATGGCTGGGAATGTCCTCCTCTAAACTTCAATTAGATAATTAGATTCGCAGTGGCTCAAATGACTCTCAACCTGTCGCCTGTGGGGAGCTTGCGGTCGGATTTGAACATATTCTGAGTTAGTCGAGGAACCAAGGAGAAGGGCAAAGTCAGAAGCCAAGCCCTATATTATAGACTCTACACACTTGTTGCGGCACGCGCCTCTGCCAAATCGTGTGAGGGTGCCTCCTCGTTCGCCCAACGCGCAGCTGCCAGCAGCAGCGCCGATGCCAATGCTGCCTGCCGAATAGCAGCTTGGACATCTTTGATCTGATCCACCCTTCCTCCCTCTGCGCTGGCTATCCTCAAAACCAGGTGAAAAGGCCTACGTGGCTACAACGGTGCCAACGTGTAAAACTCACACCCGTCTTGCTTGCAAACGCACACGCGCTTGCGCTGCGCGATTGAACTCTTCCAACAGCAAGCTTCCAGCCGCAATTGTATCTGAACCGCTCACAGCTACTCTGCGTTCCCTCTGAAGACAAGTACGATGCTCTATTAGGACTGCTGCGCGCTTTGCGAACGCGCGGTCGGGTGCTGAAGTCGCGCTCCCAACACGGTCCAAAACTCCAATTAGGGATTCAAGCAAGATCGGCGCGATGGATGTCATGAGACTTCATCTCGGGGCAACCGCGCTTGCGACAAAGCCCTGCTAGGCTCACGGTCAGGCTCGCGCTGCATATTTGGGTTGTTCGTATCCACTCTGCTTTTTGGCTCGCTAGGCTCGACCTATCTGCTCTTTTCACACCATCAGTTCAACGGCAACATGTAGCCTCGCCTAACCTGGTGCCTGGCTACAAGGGCTGGGGACTCAGCACCAGCTCAGCTCCCCGACTCAACCTCAGCCAATGCAAGCGAGCCAAGCCGTTTGATCACCCACACTGGCCCGCTTTCTCGATCTTGGCCCAACCCCCAAGCCGCTATCTCATTTGCTGAAGCCCAGCATTGCTCTTTCGTTTCTTTTGAGCCTGGCTGAGGCAGGCAGCGCGCAGCACTTACAATTATATACATGCTACAACAGCGGCAACAAACATGATGGGCTCACGCAAGTATCAGCTGCATGTGTGAATCTGTATGCCACGCTCACTCCCAAGAATTAGCTGAGATCACGGCGAACATGTCGAGAAGGCACGCAGACTCACAAACAGCAAGCTGGTCATGCATTCTGCGCCAGCTGCGCCTCTTTGCCGCGATGCCAGCGCGCCACACGCGCTCGGTGCCGCAAAATTGGCTCAGCAAGTAGGCCGCAGCTCTGGAAAACACGGCGAAGCCGCTCTGCCTGGCCAAAGACAAAAGGAAAGAAAGGGACAGAAAGAAATAAAGAAAGAAATAAAGAGATGACCAAGCAAAAAAGAGACATTGAAACCTCCGGGAATTGTCACAAGGGCATACTATCAGAATCAGGATGGCTAAAAAGCAACAAAGACACACACACACAAACACATTCGCACTACTACTACAAGTGCGGCTTTTGCATTGGACATGGCCCTGCTTGACGCTGAGCAGCCTTGAATACGTTTGCTCACACAATACTTGGATGGCATGCCCATGCTTGCAAGGTCCACAAGATTATTTGGTGGGGTATCTCAGCGCAGCCTTGCATCAGACTTTGAAGCAGCTTTGGTGTACATGGCAGCAAAGTACGCTTCGGCTTCTTTGAGTTCATTACAGGCGAATGTTCCGCAAGTTGCCCTATCATGCTCCCTTTTGAGCGCACGTAGCTAAGCAGTTTATCTACACAACAAATGCCTTTGCGACAGATCATCACTGGTCTCTGCTTCAGGAGCGGTTGTCATCTTGGGCACCATTTCATGTGCGTCATCTTTTGAGAGCTTGTCAATCCCTGCTCTGGGGCGTGCATCCAAGATTGGCTTCCTGCTCCAGTACTGAACGAAATGGGGAACCACCGTTCTTCGGATGGGTTAGGCCTTAAATGGTCAAATCAAGTTTCTGAGCAAAATTACGATGGCGTGGCGTCTTACACTTGTCTGAGCATGCGTGAGTGGGGGGTGTTGTTGTGCCTGAACTCTGGAGCTAAAAGAAGCAAGACGTGGCTGTCTCAAAAGCAACTATTCCTGGTTACCGCCCTTTCATTCACGATACAATCGCCGCGCTTACTTCGGTCATGCATCTCCCGAGGCCCCCATGCAGAATCTGAAGCCAGAATTTGAAGTGTGTCCAAGCGTAGGAATCAGCGGGGATGCTCTGCCTCCCAGGCCAAAGGCTCAAGGCCGCGGTCCACTCCAGCAACCAGCTTCAAGCAGTCACCTCTGGCTCAGGATGGAGAAATCTTCCGGCTGTATATGCTCGCCCTTTCTACTGCCTCAACCAGCCGTCTGGTTGCAACTAACACAGAGCAGTCTGACAGAACTGCAAGTGTTTCGCCTGAAACAGACTGCCAAATTGGCACAGCGCCCTCGGCGCCACTGGCGGTCAGTGCTTGCAACTTGTGCCCAGGAGCCTTGCCAAGCCGAAAGTGCCGGGTTGTCCAGGAAGAAGACCTTCCGTGCCAAGCTGCGCAAAAGAACGGGGCAAGTAAGTGCCAACACCACAGGTAGCACATCTAGGCCTGTGCAGAGGCCAAAACATCGTGCGTCCATGATCATTCAATGAAGTCCTACCAAGCTTCAATGCATGAAAATCAACCCGTGAGCTTCCCTCTTCAATACTTGTGCACCTACAAAAGCTGTACACATAAATGTCCATGCATACATCATTTTGCGATTGCCTCATGAACGGCCATCACCGCCATCTCTTGCCTCTGCTGCTAAGAATAAGCTTCGTGTGACGGGCCTCGAGTTTTGGCTTTTAGGGGTTAGGATTTAGTGGCTCAGGGTTATGGACATAGAGATTTGGGGTTTTAGAGGTTTTAGCTTTTACGGGCAGCAGATTGTCGGCCGAAAGCAGCTGAAGCACTACAGCACATTGACAGCGAGATTTCAGCCCGTATGCAAACAAGCATCGCTGCTGCTCAAGTACCACCCATCAGGGCACGGATACACGTATGCACAATATGGGAATACACCCACACATGCTCAGTCAAGATATTGGGGATTCACTCACCAACAATCGTAGTACTGAGTACTCAAGGAACCTTTCCCCGCCCCCCAGCCATATTTACATTCACAGCGTGAAAGAAACATCCTGTGCAACAATCCACCAGCCTCTCGCTTAAGCGAGACACAACGTGCGTGGCATAATTCTGCCGTACGGACTGCACAACGCATAGTTGCTTGAGGTTCAAATGAAAAGGGGTGGCTTTCCATCCTAAACGTACAATTTCGGACAATGGCAACAATCAAGAATCAAGCCCATGTCAACAAACAAAACATAATCCATGAAATAAGACCTGTCCGTTCTCCAAACAAGGGTTTTGAGCATGGCACGCACGTCATGTTCTGAAAGTATTTTTCTATGCAGCCTCTACAGTCCGTAGCTGAAGTTGTAGCCAGACTTGCCTAGGCATCTGCAAGTTAGAACCTGAGGGTCCAATCATTCAATTACATTGCATGCGATGCACTGCTACTTGACTTAGATCTTAGCATGCATGTCTGCCATGCAAGTATGCCATTGTCCTGCCTCACCAAAGCGGGCCCAGCTTCCAGCTGCTGTGGGGACACAAGCAAAGTCTGCTGTGTTCACGAGGAATGCCCGAAGCTTCGCGGACTTCGCGAGATGCGGCCTGAGTCGCCGCAGTATCTTCGCCTCGGCAAGTCCGTGCGATAAACTGTGTGTGCGCCTGTTAAACTTGAGGGATCCTGCTACTCTTGGCTGGGAGCCTGGAGAGGCTGCTTGTTAACTGGAGTTCAGCCTTCAAGGCTCGACTTGTTCGCCTGCATGTGCACCAAAACAAGTCAATGCATCTGTGGTGCTGCTGATTCCGACACTTTTTCGTCTTGGAACACAGCTCCTGGGACCGCTTTGTGCTTGAGTCATGACGAACCAATGAGCAGAAGTATAGTACATGTTCTTGAAAGGCAACCCGTCCTCCTTCATTATCCAAACTTGTCTCTCCTTCTGATAGCTCTCGGTCCACCTCGTCAACCAAGTGCCCGAAGATTTGCCTTGACGCAGTGTGCCGTGTAAAATTATTGTGGCTTCGTATTGATGCAAAGAAAGAGTGGCTTTCCGCCCATTGTCTGGCCAACAGCACACATGGCTCTGGCATGGCGGTGAACTGCTCTGTCTTTGACAACTGCTGCAGGCATGAGGGCACACTTCCATTGAAGGAGGGAGAGTCTGCGTGATTCATCGATGCAAGTCGAATCCAGGGCCCAAATGAGATTGAAATGAGATTGCAGCCTGGCAACACGACAGCACATACTATGTGAGGCTCCTGGCATGCACGAGCTTCTGGTGTCCTGCGCACGTGCTGGTCCACAGCGGCCAGAATCGAGAAGTAATCCGACCTGAGGCTTGCATGGCATCCAAACAGGCACGTCACCGAAAGGCAAACAAGTACAATGACTGTTTCGCATTTAAACTCGGCTACAGTTCGGATGCTGCGGCTGCTGCCTTCGCTGCCTTTCATCTTCGACGAAACGTATTCTCAGGGATTCTGGTAGCCTTGAGCAAAAAAAGTGTTCAATGAAAAGCTTCCGTCACCTTCCCTGCAGCCACAGTTCCTGAGCATGCTGCAGTTTGCTTGCCCCTTGCATCTTGATACGGCTCTAATTCGGCACCGTCAAAAAGTCATACACATATCATGTGCAAAGAGACACATTCGCAAGCAAGACACCAACGCAATTCCCATAATTGTTTGCTTCTGCGAAGCTCCATACGTTTACGTGGGTTACCTGATTTGTCTAACGCAGGAAGGGCACAAACAGTATATATAATATATATACAGGGCGCCCGCAGGTTGGGTATGACTATTCGCCCTGACGCTGACGACGCATTCTGACGACACATTCCTGACAACCCAAACCTCCAGTCGCGACACATTGTGACGACACATTGGTTGACGACGCATCACGTCTGACCACACATTGCCCGGTGGCCACGCGCTATCACGACATATCGGACGGCGACACACCACCTTCTGACTACACATTACCCAGCGGCGACGCATTGTGACGACACATTGGCTGACGCCACATTACCCCTTGAAGACGCATTACCCGGCGGCGACGCATTGTGACGACACACTGGTTGACGACACATTACCCCTTGAAGACGCATTACCCGGTGGCGACGCATTGTGACGACACGTTGGTTGACGACCCATTACCCCCTGACGACGCAGTACCCGGTGGCGACGCATTGCGACGACGCATCGGTTGAAGACGCATTAGCTCTTGACGACACATCGCCCGGTGGCGACGCATTGTGACGACACATTGGTTGACGACACATTATCCCCTGACAACGCATTACCCGGCGGCGACGCGTTGTGACGACACATTGGCTGACGACACATTATCCCCTGGCGACGCATTACCGCATTGTGACGACACATTGGCTGACGACACATTGTCCCTTGACGACGCATAACCCGGTGGCGACGCATTGTGACGATGCGTTGGTTGAAGACACACTATGTCCTGACTACTCATTATCCGGTAAGGAAAAAGGAGGCGGCCTCTTCATGGGCAGCGTGTGGCGCTGCTATGGCTTTCGGCAAGGAAGCCCTGGCGAATTGAATAGGGAGGAAAAACTAGGATGCGGTCTCCCCGTGGACAGGATATGGCTCGCCATGGTTTTGCCGTTGCAGAACAGGGAGGTAAAAACAGGATGCGGCCGCCCCGTGGACAGGATGTGGTTCTGCCATGGGTTTCAGCACGAATGCCCCAAGAAGGAGGAAACAAACAGGACGCGACCTCCCCACGGACAGGGTGCGGTTCTGCCATGAGTTTCGGCAAGAATGCCCCGGCTGGGAAAAACAGGAACAAACAGGATGCGGCCTCATGCGGTTCTGCCCTGGGTTTCGGCAAGAATGCCTTGGCCATAAAAAAGACTGTAAAAAACCCGCACGCCTACGCGGCCCCGGCCCTGTCAGCAAAATGCCTACGCGGCAGACAAGCAATGTCAACCCGAAGACGCGTGCGCTTGTCCCGGAAAACAACGTCGCTCAGTTGTTCATGACCTGCAAGCGTTCACTTGGCAGACTCGGTGGCGCAGGCTGATTGAAAATTGCGTTTTTGAAACATGCCACTTGTTGATTCCCATCTGGAGCCTGTAAGCACCAATAGAGCCAGCGAAGCCGGTGGGCGGAAGTTTCAAAAAGATATATCGGCTATAGGGATGCTCGCTTTTGCTTTCAAGGTCAGGGGTCTCTTCGTTGTGGAATTGCGCTACTTGTTTGTCTCCCTTGCGCTTGTCTATCTGTATCTGACCATCTGTTAAGCTATCTGGCTGTTCTGTCAAGTTGAATAGTCGTCAAGCTTAGTGTTTGTCAAGCTAGTTATCAACCAAGATGCAGGCTACTTGTTGTGCCTCGGCGCTTACCACCTCCACGGCGTGGCACACCTGCCCTTCATCAGCTGCAAAAAGCGATACGTTTCATTGCCTTGGATCTTAGAGCCAAATATGAGCATCTTGCGCTCCCCCCTTAGCGCGAATTGAACCAAGGGGAAAGCACCAACAACGCGCAGCCCTCAAACGGGAAGGAGTCCTTAGCTTCAGGGGAAACATCCGTACGTGCAACTGTCAGGACTGCAACCGACACTGAGTGAACTCTCTGTCTTTCTTGTCGCTAGTGGTGCGCTTGTCGGTCTCCTTGTTTTCCTTGTTTTCCTTGCTGCAACGTGCCCTGCAAACGTTGCGGGTCTATCGCGGTCCATCTATCTGATTTCTTTTTGGGCCTTGTCTGCTTGAGCTGGTGCCTGGGAGCCAAGCCTTCGCCGCGCCAAGTCCTGGAAAGCCTGCGCCTACCTATTACAATGAAACAACTCCAAGTAAAAGTTCAGATCATAACTATCAACATTCGTTCGCTCCCTTTTTTGCATAGCATGTCAGAAGGCGAGATGTCAAAAATTCGCAAAGCATGCGCTGACTCACGCAGCGCTCAGGCAGAAAACTCATTGGCTCTCAGGCGCAGTCTTCGCTGCTCCTGCTCAGCCGTTCCATCTGCCTGAATCTGGCTCAAGCTTCTCTTTTTGGCGATGCTCCCTGCCTTCCCCGTTACGGCCGCTGCGCCCTTTTGCCGCTTTGCGGCTCGCTCAGTAAACTGACCCCCGTTGCCTTCTCGAGGCTGGCCAGTCTGATACGAATCCAAAAGGCCATGTGCCACCAGGTGCTCCAGCGCTTTCGCAATCTTCTCGCTCAGATTGCCTTTGAAGTTTTCCCCTCTTTTGTTTTTCAGCCAACAGCGGACATCCGCAGAGGTAAACCGCGTGTTCCCTGGGGCGCGGCAGATTACGTTCTTCATGAGCTTGGTAAGATCCGGAAGCGTAGACTCCACTGCTGTGCAAAGAACCGCAGCATGCGTGAGATGGCTTGACTGCGTATTCCGTCCTGCGCTTGCCGGAAAGCAAAGGCATCCAATGGCTGCCACCTGTTGCGCCTTCGTGGAAGACGTTGCTGACGCCTCCAGAGACTAGGACGCAATTGTCTTCAGCATCAGGTACCTGGAACTCTGGAGGCGCTCGACTAGGAACGGGCGCAGATGCTGCCAGTCATCAAGCCCGCCCCACCGAGGAGCTTTGCTGCTCCTTTCGGTAAGCGCCCGCTCAAGCTCTCCGCGGCCAGCTGCCAAAGACTTTCGGAGCAGCAAAATTCCGTCTTCGTGGCTCTGCAAGCCACACACTGGCAACAGGTCACTTTCCAGCCCTCACAGCACTGGAGCCCCTGCAGCGCCCACCTCCGCGGCCATAGTCGTGGCCTGGCATATCATGACTTCAAATGAAGCTCTCAAAGCAGAATCCGATAGGTCAGAACAGCGAGACGTTCGATCTGGGCTGACATCCATTGCGCTTGCCTCGCACCCCTGCCGTGAATCCATGGTGTCAGCGCCCGGAAGGCAACTGCGTACTATGACTTTTTATGTTACCCGAGCCTATAGCTGTGATGCATCTTGTTGTTTCCTGTCGCTTTCACTAGTTGATGCACTGTGCCTTCGCTTGAGCCGGCAGCTTGCACAAAAAAACGTGTCACGGCACTTTTTTGCTATTTCCTTGGCCACGCCTGTAGGATCTCAAAACTGTATGTTCTTTCCCCGCTGCTTTCAATCAACTTCTGCATTCCGCGTTTACTTAGTCCATGCGCTGCAAGCGTAGTCATGCCAAATGCGCACAAACATCGAAACGAACAATAGCTGCGTGAAGACAACAGTGACATGCGCAAGCGATGGTCTTCTTTTTCCGCGAGGTCTGGCCTGCGTCAATGAGTGCATCCCCATACCTGCGTGTGTGCAGGAATCAAAGCTGTGTGGAAGCAACGGGCTAGATACCGCTGCGCCAAGGTGGAAGCAGATGGGGCGCACAGCGCTGCCTCCGCCGCACCACCTGGAGTAGCGGCCTCTGCGCCAAGCGGAAGCAAATGGCGCGCGTGCCTGAAATACTGAGGCGAAGGCCGGGATGACCGCAAGGATTCGATGCCTGCGCCTACCAGCTGCGAAAAATGACGCCAGCACGAAAATGCAGCCGCGCCCTCTTGCGCCTCCAGTCGCCGTTTCCGTCTCAAATCCTTCTTTACGAGACTTGCTGTGGAGCGTCTTCATGGCCTTTTTGACTGCACGCTTCATAGCGCCAGCGCCTGATAGGCAACTGACTCGGCTCTAAAAACTCGATAAAGCTGTTACTCTTTCTACTCTGTCTTTCCCGCTGCTGGTGGCTGCTTGTCGGCTTCCTACAGCTTCCTTGCTCCGACATACTCTGCAAAACATGTTACGAATCTATCTCCTTTTTGGGCCATCTGCTTGAGCGGGTGACTAAAGCCTGCGTCTACCTACTGCGACAAAAAGACGCTTTGGGGAACTTCTAGAAGTTGGCATCTGGAAACAGAAGAGAAGACAAAACTCATGACCTAAAATCGTAAGCCGTGTGAGATTTTGCTTGGCGCCTGCTTCATCGCAGGGAAGTTGGCGTCATCCATGACATCAGCGCCCGGGGGCAACTGAGCGCTATGACTCTGTACTCAGCTCGCATCTAGAAGCAACTGGTAGCTCACGCGTCGAGCTGTTAAATTGTCTGCGGAAGTCCATGCGCCGCAAGCGTAGTCATGCCAAATGCGCACCAATATCGAAACGAACAATAGCTGCGTGAAGACAACAGTGACATGCGCAAGCGATGGTCTTCTTTTTCCGCGAGGTCTGGCCTGCGTCAATGAGTGCATCCCCATACCTGCATGTGTGCAGGAATCAAAGCTGTGTAAAGCCACACGACCCCTGCGCCACTTGGAAGCAACGGGCTAGACACCGCTGCGCCAAGGTGGAAGCAGATGGGGCGCACAGCGCTGCCTCCGCCGCACCACCTGGAGTAGCGGCCTCTGCGCCAAGCGGAAGCAAATGGCGCGCGTGCCTGAAATACTGAGGCGAAGGCCGGGATGACCGCGAGGATTCGATGCCTGCGCCTACCAGCTGCGGAAAATGACGCCAGCACGAAAATGCGGCCGCGCCCTCTTGCGCTTCCAGTCGCCATTTCCGTCTCAAATCCTTCTTTACGAGACTTGCTGTGGAGCGTCTTCATGGCCTTTTTGACTGCACGCTTCATAGCGCCAGCGCCTGATAGGCAACTGACTCGGCTCTAAAAACTCGATAAAGCTGTTACTCTTTCTACTCTGTCTTTCCCGCTGCTGGTGGCTGCTTGTCGGCTTCCTACAGCTTCCTTGCTCCGACATACTCTGCAAAACATGTTACGAATCTATCTCCTCTTTGGGCCATCTGCTTGAGCGGGTGACTAAAGCCTGCGTCTACCTACTGCGACAAAAAGACGCTTTGGGGAACTTCTAGAAGTTGGCATCTGGAAACAGAAGAGAAGACAAAACTCATGACCTAAAATCGTAAGCCGTGTGAGATTTGTTTGGCGCCTGCTTCATCGCAGGGAAGTTGGCGTCATCCATGACATCAGCGCCCGGGGGCAACTGAGTGCTATGACTCTGTACTCAGCTCGCATCTAGAAGCAACTGGTAGCTCACGCGTCAAGCTGTTAAATTGTCTTCGGAAGTCATCTTCGGAAGGTGTAACTTGTCTTCCGGTAGGAATTCGTCTTCGGACAATTTGTCTTCGGAATTCGTCTTCGGGGGGCGAATTCATCTTCGGGTGAGAATTCGTCTTCGGACATTCGTCTTCGGGGGGTAATTCGTCTTCGGGTGGGAATTCGTCTTCGGATAATTCGTCTTCGGAAGTCGTCTTCGGGGGGTAATTCGTCTTCGGGTGGGAATTCGTCTTCGGATAATTCGTCTTCGGAAGTCGTCTTCAGGGGTAATTCGTCTTCGGGTGGGAATTCGTCTTCGGACAATTCGTCTTCGGAAGTCGTCTTCGGGGGTAATTCGTCTTCGGGTGGGAATTCGTCTTCGAACAATTCGTCTTCGGGGGGCAATTCGTCTTCGGGTGGGAATTCGTCTTCGGACAATTCGTCTTCGGAATTCGTCTTCGGGGGGTAATTCGTCTTCGCTACTTTTACTTTTCGTGCATCGTTCTAATGTTGAATTCGTCTTCGTAATTCGTCTTCGTCTGCGGGTGGAAAAGTGGTACCCGCACAGCGGCCGCAATGTGTACATATATATATATTATGTTTATGTACGCTGATGAATCTGAACGCCTTGCTTGAATGTGTATCATCACATCAGCACACCAATGCAAGAGCCAAAACGACTAGTGGCTCGGAATGCAACTGGCCAGACTCAGAGGTACGGCACGCCATCACTCGCAGATGATGTTAGCAGCGATAAACTCCATGTTAGCAGCGTTGCCTTTCTGTATACAAAAGCCGTGCCTAATAAAACGAGGGGTTCTGTCCTTTAGCAAGGCCTGCGTCAATGTGTTTATTGTGTTTATTACATGCGTGAGGTAGTCTGAAACAAACGATGCCCTGGTGTGATTCTTGCGATGATACTGCAAGTTGGCGCTGCCAAACATGGCGCCCACCAAAACACAAAGTCGGAAATGACACCTGCTAAGATACCGACCATTGCAAACACTGCTTCACGCCCAGACTGAGAAACAGCTCCTGCACTTCAGCATGCTGCCTGGAGTATCGCGAGCCCGTCCAATTCGCTGGGAACAGCGTATGCGGGCCCCAGTAATACTGGCCGACAATGCGCTTGCCACTTGCCTCCCTTGCAAAATCACTGGCGGCATCCGTCACACTCCTGCTATAGGTGTCGACCAATCGACTGGCGTCCTTGAAAACCACATCAGCCAAGCGATACCACTTGCCGACCCGCGGCTCTTGCTCCCCCTTCATGTCAAAAGCATCTCGATGTCCTGCGATCAATCGAGGATGCTCTGGGACAAAAATCCATTCTTCCTTGCGTAGGAATTCCAGCGTTTCAGCACTGTCTGCATCCAACTCTGCTGCACTTCTACTGTTCAGCTCCTGCACCAATCTCTGGTACAAGCATCGGCACGCATATACACTGTACGTGTTCTGATAAGAGTGATTACGCAAAATGTGTTCGATATTCTTCAAGGTTGGTGCTGTCCGGAAGCCCAAGAATGGCCAGAACTTATGAAGGTCCCCAACACACGCTGCGAAGATAAAGGGCTCCTCCAATGGGGATACCGTATCAGCCAGCCACGCATCAGAGACTTGGAGCAGTTTGTGTCCGCGGTGGGCAGGCAGCCATGGTACTGTCTGCAAGAGCTGCAAAATGCCCTGAGATGTGTTTCCCTTCGGCCAGACATTGTTGCCTTGACGCTCTTCCTTCTCCACTGTCCCTTCGCCCGTTTTCAAGCAGTAGCGGCTGTAGAACTTGCCATGTGGTGCCAGGAATGCGACCAGTGCTTGTGCAACAAGGGTTGAGCCATGGCTGGCCTCACAGCGTGCAGAACTCATCAAACGCTCCAATTCGGCGCTGTTGCCTTCCGACACCCCGAAGGCTGGCCAGAGTCCAACCGCTGTCCAGAAGTCATTCCAAGCTTCGCCTTCTGGTTGGCCAGCCCAGTAGATGTCTGACACCTCAGCTTGCCAAGTCCTGGTCTGCTTGCCAAGATGCATTTGCAAATTGCTGCTGTGACTGATTGCCCTGGCAAGTCGCACAAAGCCACCGATCTGAGTATGCATTCCTGAGAAGGATTGCCCAATGGTGCCGTTTGAGGCGCTCAAAGATCAAACTAACTTATAGCCGTATTCAGTCGTATTCAGCCGTATTCAATGATTGCCATCATTGTCAATGCTGCAGTCTTCATTTGCTCTCGAGCCACAATTTGTGATTCTGCTGTCAAACTGTGAAGACGGGGATACTAAATACCAAAGCCTTGCTCGTACGGAACCTTCCACGACATGGGGACCCATGGCGTGTCCATAGAGTTGCTCAACTGCTGCTGATGCTGACTGGGCCCTGTCCCCCCGCAATACAAAGCAAAGCGAGAGAAGGGGGTGCTGGAGCGCAATCATGGAGTGATAAGTCGTACACAAGAGCAACAGCGCAAGCGGACTATCGAGCTAGCGGCTAGCGCTTTGCTTTCGCGACCCATGTTTGACCATACGCAGCAGTCAGCGAGCATGACAAGTTTACGCGTCACTTACACGTCGGCATTTGGAGCGTTTCCCCTCAAGAAGCGCTTACGTGAGCTCCTTTCTATGCGCCGCCTGAGAAATGCATGAAGAAATGCTCTCAGGTGGATCAGCTTGGCGCTGTTGTTCTTTTCAAGAGTCTTCGCTTTGTAGCCCTCTTGCGCAGCTCCTTGGATTTGGCGGACAACTTGGCGTCCAGAGTTCGTGTTGCCGCTGCAGGTCAGCTTTTGTGGCATCATGGCGTGGGCAAGCGGGCAGCCGTGCTAGGCGAGCTTGCGCAAACCTCACGCGCCTGCTGACGCCTGCTCACTCACCCAGGACCCCTTAATTTGTTGAATCCTGCTGTGTGGTAGCCCTTGTGCTTTGGAAATCAGCAACTTTTGCGCGGCATGTTTGCATGCGCCCACTTGTGCGGTGCAGGGCTTCCATGAGATATTGCCCCGACACACCCTGGGTACAGCTTCTTCAAAAAATCCGCCGACCCCTTGCCAAAGAGGCGAGGCGCACGGGATGGGTGGCTGGCAACTGAGCATAACCGAAGATTCATTATCATCAGCATCATCATCGTCATCATCATCATCATCATCACCATCATCATCATCATCATCATCATCATCATCATCATCATCATCATCATCATCATCATCATCATCATCATCATCATCATCATCATCATCATCATCATCATCATCATCATCCATCATCCTCATCATCATCACCATCATCATCACCATCATCTGGGCTGGTGGGTCTGCAGTCAAAGAGAGGGTCCGGTGTTCACATGGAATCCTTCTCCACTTCAGCAATCTGGGTCGGTGGCTCTTAAATAATGGTCAATCCACGCTTGCCCCAGGCATTTGGGCAGCTGGGGTGACTTTGAACAAGGGTAGCGATAGTCCCGCAAAGAATGCTAAAGCGAATTCTATGCATTGTTTGGTTTGACGCCGAGCGTCCGCAACACCTCTGGCAGCTGCCGCAAATGAACTGGCTGATCATTGCTGCACCACACCACATCTCGTTCATCCGCACCGTGTCGGCCATCTACAGCAACCTCAACAAAAAAACAACAGGCCGGTTCTTCCAGCAAGAGTCTACAGTCGCTGACAGCAGCCACACCTCCGAATAAGACTACTCTATCACTATCTCAAAAATAGACAGGTTGCCCACATGCCACCGCGGAGGGAAGCCATCAACTCCTCCTCGAGGTTCATGCGCAGCAAAAAGCGTCGAGCCGCTCGCGTGCATTGTACAAGCTCCATAAGCTCTGGCTTCGGGCCTGTGAGAAAGGGCACCAGTACTTGCTTGAAGAAGTGTAGGCCATCAGCATGTTCCACGCCAGCTCGGTGCAGAAACCCGGACACTTTCTGATGCATCACGGCTGCAAATGCTGAGCTCAAAATCTTGGCCCCAGAAACGACTCCTTTGAAGTCAACACCCACGTTGTAGACGTGTGCCCCTGCCGGAGCAACCAACTGGCCATCCTCTGTTGGAATCATGGGCATGTGATCAAGGCGTCTCAAGGCAAAGGAGGGATCAGAAGCGAGGATCAACAACAGCAAATGCAACTTGTCCATGTCATCAGCAGCTACCGGTCTCTGCGTGCACAAGTGGAACTGGGTCAGGCAATCAATAGTCAGGTTGCTGTCCAAACAGGGAATGCCTAAAGCTTCTGTCAGATTCCCCGGCAGCAGGCTCAGCTCCACGTATCTGCCTGTTGCATTCAACAGCGGTTCTAGCAGTGCGAGATGCTGCTCGGACCAGTCCGTAGCCACGGCCGGGCGGAGGCTGCAGACCGCTTCGGCAGGCCGCACCATGACCAGCCTTGCTGGCCTGAGAGTGCAAAAGTCAGGCAATGGAATAGTGATTCCATTGTATATGACAAACACATATACATAATATATATATATATATGCTCACCCCCCCCTGCATGACCTGCCTTTTTAGCTAAAAAAAGCAGGATCTCATCTATCATTTGCCCCTCCCTTCATCGCTATTGGTGGGGCACAGCACTTGGTTTTCATTGCACACGCGAGCAAAACACAAAACTAGTTATCTTCAATGCTTATTGATTGAAGCAATGGAAAACCTGTTCCATTATGTTATTCACCGCCACTCATAACATAATGATGTTCCATTTAATATTAATGACAAGTTAATTTTTAAATATAATTGTCTATATTTCTTTAATATCAACTATGACAGATGTCCCAATAATAAAACCAATAAACATAACTGAATATGAATTCAAACAATCCAAATATGAGCACGTGCTAAAATTACCATTTAGAAGTATTATAGTTGCTTCATCGACGGGAGGCAAAACAGTTTTAGTCCAAAACCGTATCTTGAATGTTTATAGAAATTCATTTGCAAGAATATTTATATTTTCCCCCAGCGTTCATAATGACCCAACTTTTACAGAAGTTAAAAAATACATCAGGGATGAATTGCACGTGGATGGTGAAAAAGAACAAATTTATTTTGATAATTATAATCCAAGTGATTTAGAAAATGTAATTGAAAGACAGAAGAAAATGATTAATTATATGAAGTCTAAAACGATAAAGAAACTACATTCAATATTAATCGTTATAGATGACCACGCATTCAAGATTCATCGTTGTAGATGACCACGCAGACGATCCTAAATTTGTTAGATATAGTAAATTATTACACAGACTTTTTACAAGAGGCAGGCACGATGCAGTAAGTGTAATTTGTTCAACAGAAAAATATAATGTTTTAGTGCCTATCATTCGTTTAAATGCCAGTTCATTAGGTTGAAAAATGCAAGTGAGTTAATGATTTTTATTGAAGAAAATAGCGCCATTGTTGACAAACAGCAATTATTAGATATGTATCATCAAGCCGTTAATGACGCACCTTATAGTTTCTTCTACGTGAATATGAATGCTAAAGACATTAACAAAATGTTTCATATCAGATTTGAACAGGCATTTTAAATTACGAATGATGAATAAAGATATTCTAATTTAACATAATATAGTAATATGCCAATGAAACTATGTAGATGTGGTGGATTTTATCGTAGAGGTAATTGTAATTTTCATACGAATTCTTGGATACATAAACTTTATAAAGTATTGAAAAGAAGGGCAACAGACGAGGAATTATTATGATTTCAAAATAATTTTGTTGATGAAGAAGATTTAATAGATGATATAAGTAGTACTACTTCAACAACAATACCAGAGGATAAAATGACAGATTATGATAGCAATCAATAATATTATTATATGTTAATATTATTAATTTAAATTAACGAAGCATTGCAAAATTGTAAGGCAGGACGTTTATATATTAATTTGTCAGATTTTTCTTTCTCTAGTTTCTCAATTCGTGTCACACATTCTTGAAGAGATTTAATAATTAAAGTGTTTGCTCGTGTTTTTTCATCTATACTTAAATTCTTAATGTCTTCCAAACTATTATTTTCATTATTTTTTACTTTTACCAATACCCATTATATATGATTTTTTAAGAATTTAATTTTTCAAAATTATCTTTTTGTGGTTCTTCTTCTTCGTCTTCAGTTGGTGCTGGTATTTCTGTTGTTTT